TATTTGGTACATAGAGGGCAAATTAAAAATACATATATACCCTTTTGCAGGACAATTCCACCTCTGGGAACTAAGATGAGACATATTTAAATATACAAGAAATGATGTACATCCAAGGATAATCATTCAAGAACTAGAGTTCAAAATACACTCAGTGTCCCATTGCACTCCAGTCTGGGTAATAACTGATAAAATAATGTATAGTAGTAAGAAAAAAATGTTGCCTTTTTGCACTGAGATGGAAAAGCCATCGCTAGTCCAATGTGCAGAAGGGTTTGTATGGTATTTTCTCTTGTATAAAAATGAGGGGAAATAAGAACATTTATTCTTACATATATATGTGTGAAAAAAATGTGTATGTGGAAGAATATACATGAGGCTGGATGTGGTCGCTCATGCCTGTAATCTTAGCACTTTGGGAGGCCGAGGCGGGCAGATCACCTGAGGTCAGGAGTTCAAGACCAGCCTGGCAAACATGGTGAAACCCCGACTCTACTAAAAATACAAAAATTAGCCGGGTGTGGTAGTGTGCGCCTGTAGTTCCAGCCAGTTTTGAGGCTGAGGCAGGAGAATCACTGGAACCTGGGAGGTGGAGATTGCAGTGAGCCAAAATCACGCCACTGAACTCCAGCCTGGGCAACAGAATGAGACTATGCCTCAAAAAAAAAAAAAAAAAAAAAGAAAAGAAAAAAGGAAAAAGAAAAATTAATATTCAAGAAAAAAAATGTAGAGGTTATTTCAGTGGTGGTAACTGGATGGGTAGAAGTGATGATTAAAAAACTTTTGGCTCGGGGCCGGGCGCGGTGGCTCAAGCCCGTAATCCCAGCACTTTGGAAGGCCGAGGCGGGTGGATCACGAGGTCAAGAGATCGAGACCATCCTGGTCAACATGGTGAAACCCCGTCTCTACTAAAAATACAAAAAACTAGCTGGGCATGGTGGTGCGTGCCTGTAATCCCAGCTACTCAGGAGGCTGAGGCAGGAGAATTGCCTGAACCCAGGAGGCGGAGGTTGCGGTGAGCCGAGATCGCGCCATTGCACTCCAGTCTGGGTAACAAGAGCGAAACTCCGTCTCAAAAACAAAAACAAAAAAAACAAAAAACTTTTGGCTCACACCTGCAATCCCAGCACTTTGGGAGGCTGAGGTGGGTGGATCACGAGGTCAGGAGATGGAGACCATCCTGGCCAAACCAGGTGAAACCCCATTTCTACTGAAAAAAAAAAAAAAAAAAAAAAAATTAACTGGGTGTCATGACTTACACTTGTAGTCATAGCTACTTGGGAGGCTGAGACAGGGGAATCACTGGTTTGTTTTCATTCTACTACTTTTTACATTTACTATCTTGACTTTTTTTCCCCCCTTATTGACAGGAGTTTACAACACAAATGTATGTCTGGATTATCCACATTCACAGAATCCTAAGACAGGAGTGCAGGTGCTGGGTCAACATAGCAGCCTATGTTATGGAAATCCTTTGGTCAAAAACACAAATATCCAATGGTCTTTTCCCAGGGCTTATCTTTCCTTGACTCAAATTCTCCCATGGCATCCTGTAACACATACTTAGCTTCTCCAGGAATGGTGTAGTACACAGAATAAACTGGAGTCAAGCTGGTTTTAAATGCTGGTTCTTTTTACTGCTGTGTGAATCTACAAAGTCAGTCTACCAAATGAGGCTAAAACTGGCTACCTTGGAAATGGAGAGAAATAAATGAGATAACAAATGTATAGCTGACATAGTTTAACAGATACTCAATAAATGCTGATTTCCTTTTCTCCTTCATGTTTTCTCTGTCCTTTAGTACTTTTTTTTTTTGAGATGGAGTTTCACTCTTGTTGCCCAGGCTACCGCAACACCCATCCCCCTGGTTCAAGCAATTCCCCTACCTCAGCCTCCTCAATAGCTGGGATTACAGAAATGCACCACTAGGCCTGGCTAATTTCACATTTTTAGTAGAGTTGGGGTTTCTCCATGTTGGTCAGGCTGGTCTCGAATTTCCGACTTCAGGTGATTTGTCCAGCTCAGCATCCCAAAGTGCTTGGATTACAGAAAGACACACCTGGCCTCTACTCATTTTTTATTGGATGTCTTTTAATTTTTATTGATTTGTGGGGGTCTTCAAATTCAAGATAGGAGCAAAGAGACATATTTCTCTCTTGTAGATATGCGTGCATTTGGCTGGGTGTGGTGGACTACACCTATAATCCCAGCACTTTGGAAGGCTGAGGTGGGAGGATCACTTGAGCTCAGGAGTTTGAGACCAGCCTGAGCAACATGGCAAAACCCCATCTCTACAAAAAATACAAAAATTAGCTGGGCATGGTGGTGTGTACTTGTAGTCCCAGCTACTCAGGAGGCTGAGGCGGGAGGATTGCTTGAGCCCAGGTTGAGGCTGCAGTGAGCCGAGACCACATCACTGCCTTCTAGCCTGCATGGGCAACAGGGTGAGGCTTTATTACCCCCCCCACCCCCCCAAAAGAAATGAATTCATTTGTTTGATGCTATTAGAATACCACTAACTTCCCTTACTTTGGCCCCAAATCCACAAATAAACCCTCCAGATGGTAATGCAGAACACTTCATGCATTCTCTTTAAAAAAACCTACTGAGTCTTTATGCCAGGGAATTTGGTATTAACAGATACATGCAGGTCTCTCATTTCCTACATGATTAGAAATACTAACGATAAAATGGGAGACCTGTACTGGAACTCTGTTTTTAAAATCTTTGAGCTTAGTGAATTTAGGCAAGTTACTCAACCTTCAGTTTCGTCATTGGAAAAATAGTGCAGACAATACCTATTTTATAGAGTTGTGAAGATTAAATCAGACAATACATGTAATAGGCTTTGCACAGTGGCTGGCATACAAAAAACATTAATGTATGGTAGCTACTATAAACTTGGTTATTTCCATGCAGCTTTCCATGTCTACATGGAAGGAGAAAATAAGCAGAGGTCCATTATAGTTTGGCTATCAAGGTTTTCACTCCAAAGTAAAAAAAGCATTTAGATTTAGGCAAGTCTTCTGGGAGTTTGGTTCTTCTGACTTCCTCCATCTGTGAGATCACAGGTTACTTCTATAATATGATAAAAATTATTAGAAAAAGGAAATAAAGGCTGGGCATGGTAGCTCATGCCTGTAATCCCAGTACATTGGGAGGCTGAGGTGGGTGGATCACTTGAGGTCAGGAGATTGACACCATCCTGGCCAACATGGCGAAACCCTGTCTCTACTAAAAATAGAAAAATTAGTGGGGCGTGGTGGCATGTGCCTGTAATCCCAGCTACTAGGGAGCCTGAGGCAGGAGAATCGCTTGAACCTAGGAGGTGGAGGTTGCAGTGGGCCAAGATTGCACCACTGCACTCTAGTCTGGCAACAGAGCAAGACTGTCTCAAACAAAAACAAAAAAGGAAATAAAGACATATACAACAGTATAATCCCTCAAATACTTAACAGACCCACAGAAACAAAATTAGTCTGTTAAATTGCTGTAAGTTTCCAAATTCTTTCTTACTTTGTGTAAATGCCTTGTCATGGATGTGTAACAAAGGGCTTACAGACTGGCACTACCCTGTGGACCACTTTAGGTGGCAGTGCACTAGGGCACTGACAAAAATCAGACTTCTGAATCCACAGGGCTGAAGTCAAAGCAACTGAAGAGTGTCCTGACTCACCAGCTGGCCACCTAGTGGCCTTTTTCTAGCCATAAGCACAATGTTGTGTCACTCCTTAGTTCAAAAACTATCCACTGTTCTGCCTGACTCAAGGGTAAAATCTCAGTCCTTTAATCTAACATCCAAGGCCTCCTTGAGCTGGCTCCAAACAACTTTTTTTTTTGAGCCGGAGTTTCGCTCGTTACCCAGACTGGGGTGCAATGGCGCGACCTCGGCTCATTACAACCTCCGCCTCCTGGGTTCAGGCAATTCTCCTCCCTCATCCTCCCGAGTAGCTGGGACTACAGGCATGTGCTACCATGCCCAGCTAATTTTTTGTATTTTTAGTAGAGACGGGGTTTCACCATGTTGACCAGGATGGTCTCGATCTCTTGACCTCGTGATCCACCCGCCTCGGCCTCCCAAAGTGCTGGGATTACAGGCGTGAGCCACTGCGCCCGGCCCCCAAACAACTTTTTAAGTCTGACTTTCCACTATTCTCTATTTCACTTACTGCACTGTCCAATATGGTAGCAACTAGACCCACTTGAAACACAGGAAGTGAAATGAGACTAATTTAGGAACTGAATTTATAATCCTAACTTTAATTTAAAAACATACATGAATCAATTACTGTAAAACTTTTAAATATGCTTGGAATGATTTGGGTATGTGAATCTATTTCTTCAGCTGGAAATTTTACAATATCAAGTTCTGAGATATGTTATAAATCTAAAATATATGCCAGACTTCAAATGCTTAGTAATGAGAAAAATACATATTTTTAATATTTAGTAATTTGTTATATTGATCACAAAGTGAAGTATTATTTGGATATACTGGATTAAACAAAAGGCATAATTAAAATTAATTCCACCTAGACAACATGCCCAAAACCTAGGAATCACAATTGATTCCTCCCTTTCCTCATTTGACTGGTGAGCAACAGGTCAGCTTTTTGGATCTATCCACTTTCCTCATCTCTACTGCTACTATCCTAGTCCATGATACTCCCATTTCTTAAATCCTTCAATGGCTTCCAGTGCACTTCACCTTCTTATCAAGGCTGAGTGATTCACTCTGTACCATTTCTTCTTTTGCTCACTAGACTTCAGCTACACTGACCTTCTTGCTGTTCCCTGAAGATAAAAAACATCTCACCTAGGGCCTTTGCCCAGCTATCCCTTTGGTCTCACACTGCTCTTAATTCCTTCCTAATACCTTCTCAGTGAGGCCATCTCTGATCAACCAACCACCAAAACTTTGCTCTATTTTCCCCAGAATAACACCTTACCCAATCACCCTTTAATCTTCTTCACGAATTTTTTTTTTTTTTTTGGAGAGAGTCCTGCTCTGTCACCCAGGCTGGAGTGCAGCAGCACAATTTTGGCTCACTGAGCCTCTGTGTCCCAGGTTCAAGCTATTCTCCTGTGTCAGCCTCAGTAGCTGCCTCTGCCTCAGTAGCTGGGATTGTAGGTGCGTGCCACTGTGCCTGGCTAATTTTTTTATTTTTAGTAGAGAAGGGTTTTTGCCATGTTGGCCCCACTGGTCTTGAACTCCTGACCTAAGGAGATCCACCCACCTTGGCCTCCCAAAGTGCTGGGATTATAGGTGTGAGGCACTGTGACCAGGCTTCTTCACAAACTTATTATGGGATGTTCTCTATTTTTAAAACTTGTTTATACACTGTTTCCCTCTAAAAAGAGGAGTAGAAAACCTGCTTGTTTTGCTGCTGCTTTATCTATTTCAGTGTTTAGAACAATGCCAGGCACAGAGTAGGTGCTCTTCCAACAAGTGTTGACTGAATATCTAATTGCTGACTACACCTAACTGCTTGGTTGGCTCACAGGCACTTCAAACTTTACATGGTCAAAACAGAGCCTTCTTCCTTCCCTAACATATATTCTCTCTTGTTGTTTCTAATCTCAGTGAAGACATTACTATCTTCCTAGCTGCTCTAACTCACTTGGGAGTCAACTTTGACATGTATCTCCCTCAGTCATTTTCAGTTAACAAACCTCCCACTAACCACTTTTGTTATTTTCTTCACTCCTACTTGCCACCAACTAAATTTAAGCCATTATTGGCTAACAGCCTACTGTTTTCTCCAAACTCTTTTCCTCGCCTCAAATTTTTGTGTAACAGTGATCTGTCTAAAATGAATTCAATCCTATGATTCTTCCACTTAAAATCTTTCAATAGCTTCCTCCTGGCTCTCAGAAGCTGACTTCTACATATAGCATTCAAGGCTTTCAGAAGTAGACCTCCAGCACTCTTCTTTACCCAACAATCTCTCAAGTCTTTGCCTCCAAACATCTGTACTTACTGCTTCTTGTCTAGGTCTTCTCCAGTACTTTTTTTTTTTTGAGACGGAGTTTAGCTCTTGTCATCCAGGCTGCAGTGCAATGGCACCATCTCGGCTCACCCCACGCAACCTTAGCCTCCTGGGTTCAAGTGATTCTCCTGCCTCATCCTCCTGAGTAGCTGGGATTTCAGATATGTACCACCATGCCCGGCTAATTTTGTATTTTTAGCAGAGATGGGGTTTTTCCATGTTGGTCAGGCTGGTTTCAAACTCCTGACCTCAGGTGATCCGCCCACCTCGGCCTCCCAAAGTGCTGGGATTACAGGCGTGATCCCCAATACCCTTACTAAGCTAACGCTTCTTCAGTCCCATTCTACTCTATTCCTCCCTATTGGTTTAATGAGGGGTTCCTCCTTTATTTAATTCCACAGTATTCAGCAGCTTCACACTCATCATACTGATGATGCCTATTTACTTGTCTACATTCTAAAGTCTAAAATCAATGGGGGTAACAATTCTGCAGCAATAATTAACTGTTCACTCAAACAGAAAAACATATCAGAATTTTGACAAATTTCTATTAACTGAAGCAATGAAAATATTAAATCAAAGAAAACATAATGGTTTTTATGCTACTTTTCTTCTATTTTAGGCACAACACTTTAATAAATTACGCAGACTACAAAACTTTACTACATCAATTATTACAAAAGGCTGAGTGGAGAGATTACTTATCTGAGGGAGCACAAAATCAGTACGCAATATGGATTTCATTGAAGCTTGTCAACTCTCCTGGATTAAATTATTGGCGCTGTCTCACATAGTCCCAAGTCCTAGATGTAGATAGGATTCTGGAAGTTGCAGTTACTAGGTTAGGAAAGCCACGCCCAGGCTCCCCTGTGAAAAACATATCAATGTGTTAAGCTCCTTAGCAAATCACATCTAGATTAAGTTCAAAATATGTTGTTTTTTTAACTTTGCAAATCTCCATCTCCAAACAAACTTTTTCTACTTTCTCAATAAAATACAACAAAATTTTTGACATTAGAGCCACGGAGAAACAGAGCTCTATCTCTGAGATGGCAGTAATCCAAGGGTATTTAGTAAGCAGTTACTAGGATCTACGAAATGGGGGGCACTATCACCATGTTGGGGGAAAAAAGCTACAGAAATATGTACATCTTCGTCATGAACCTGACTGCTGAGTTTATACAAGTGGAAAAGGAACCTCACTCGTTCCGTCCCTGGTACCTCCACAGCGTCTCCCGTCCCAGTCTGCCTAGTTGAATGTAGGGCCACTTTAAGGTAAATCCTAGCCTCCGGGCTGTCCTTCCGCCTCCCAGGATTCTGCTAGGCCGCTCAGTTGGCAAGCTTAAACTCCAAAGATTCCGCAGTCTCCGTCTTTCAACGATCACGTCAGAGACACCAAGGTTAGCACAGGAACATTAGTTTCCAAACTCCCACCCGCCGCACAAACAGGCGGGAAGGTTCCGCTGCCAACCTGCCTCTCCGCCGCGCACATGGCCGGCCGCAGCTCCCACCCCCGCTGCCGCGCAGGCGCCGGGCGAGCCGGGACTTGCGGTCGCCGAGAGCGGATCATTCCGCCGCTTTCTTTGTGTGGCTGAAGCGCTAGAAATGACATATTTTCCTCCCCTTCGTTAAAAAATCAGACCCTCTTTCTCCTCTCTCCTCCCCGGAACAGAGTCAGGGAGTGGGTAGTAGCGAGATCTGCCGACGACTGCAGAGGCGGAAAATCCTCGGAAGAGGAGTTGACGAGGGCCGGGTCCGGGAGGGATGCTGGGAGCTTGACTCAGTCGCACACCATGTGTCCCTCCGCACGCAGCACGGGGACTTTTCGGTGGGGATTTTGGGCGCCGACCAGACGCGGCATTTTCGGAAAATAGCGCCCTGTGCAGCTGAAGCGCTTTGTGTGTAGCGGGGCCGTGTCAGCCCGGCCGGGTACGAGGCGCCTTGGGTCCCCGCACCACCTCCTGCTGCCTCCCCGTCGCCGCTCCCGAAGCTTTTCCAGGTCAGTGCGGGTCTGTGTAGGGCCCTGTTACCACCGGATGTGGAAGTTGATCTCTTCGCTGGTAAAAAATAATTCCACTTCCCCCGGAACCCAGATCATCCCCGCGATTTCCTGTTTATTGCATTAAGGCGCCGGGTTTCCGGGGCTCCTGGCCCCGCTTATTCCGCGGGGGTCGGCGGGGTCGGCCTGGGCGCCCGCTCCGCCCGCCCCGCCGCTGCGCTTTGTCCGCTGGGCACCCCGCTTCTGGGAGGGGCGGGCAGACATGGTGGCGGCCGCCGCCCCCTCCTCGGCCCTGGCGTGCCGCGGCCTCCTAGCGACTGCCCGACGGGCCCGTCCGGCGCGGCCGCCCCAGGGTAGCGATGGGGTCGAGCTGAGGCATCGGGGGTTCTGCAGGCGACTGGAGGTTGGCGGTGGGCGGGAGAGGGAGGAAGACAGGCGCGGCCAGGCCTCGGCCTCTGGGCGCCACAGTATCCTTTGTCTGGGCAGCCTGACGGCCCCACCGGGCTCTCCGGAGAGGGTAACGAGCGACTGGGGCGGCCGGTTTTGGGCGCTCTGTGCTGCGGGGTCGAGAGGCGCTCGGGCCGGGACGGGAGCGGCCGGCCCGGACGGAGTTAACGGGAGAGCCAGGCCTGTCCCGCGCGGGGCCGCCGCTGCGACAGACTTGGCCGCGGGGCCTGGAGTCCTGAGGGGGAGAAGCCTGCGGTTCTGAAGGCTCGGGACTTCTGCCCCAAAGACTTCACCGCCGAGACTGCCGGGTGCACGGCCTCAGGGAAGAAGTTGAGAATTTTGCCAGGTCATCTCTGCCAGGGCACAGTTCATCAGTGTGTGTTTAGTGTGTTTTGTTGAAGCTCTCCAACTGTGTTGAATCAGCGTGCCTAACCTCAAGGGTGCAACGTGAAAACTGAAACCACCTTGGTTTGGAATGATACAGGCCTGCTTTGTGTGTGTCTTCCTACTTTAAGCTTGTTTTCAGTCCAGATACTCTTGCTTTAAATCTGATTGGACTGTGGCGAGCAGACATCTGTTCAAAGGAGGGGCAGAGACCACAGTGCTTCGGAAGGGGGCTTGATAATGTGGAAACATTTTAAGTTTTTTCTCCGGACTGTTTTGCTCTCTCGATTCAGGCAAGTTACTGAAGCATAATTTTTATCTGGAAAAAGGTTTGATGTAGTCTGTAAATGGTCCTTGTAAAGTACATGCCCTCCCAGAATTAAAAGATGCCCTCTCATATATTATGCAGAAGTTAGTGGACAGACATTCTTTATTGCAGATAGTTTATCTCATGGAGAGACCCAGCCAACTTGGTTTAAATCTTTTTCTCACTGACGTATAACCATCAGCTTTGATATTTCCATTTCCAGGCTCAGACTTTGAATTTAAGGAAACTAAAGATGGCTTTTCTTTTCTTTTCTTTTTTTTTTTCTTCCAGGAAAAAAACCCTTTACATGTTAACATAGATATGTTAAGAGTGACATCTTAAATTTTTGCAAATCTTTTTAATGTCTGGTTCAATAGTAAATTCTCAAATCTTCAGACTGTTGTGGTTAGCACATCATGTAACCTCTGGAACACTCCACTGTACACTCATACTTAAAAAAAAAAAAAAAGTGTCATTCTTACCCTGCTTTCACCATGCACGTCAAATCAGGATGTTATGCAAGACACATTTTAAGAAGACGAATAAGATTGATTCCCATGCCTTTTTACTGGGCTCTAACTTTTTTAAAAGTTGGAATTTAGGTGCCTAAACCAAATCACGGATAAGGATTGCATAATCTGCGTATGATATCGGAGACTCAGGAGCATTTGAAAATATTCCTAAGTGATTAAAAATTTTAATTCCAGTACATATTTGTAATGATTTACACAAGTAACGCGTGAATTCCACATTACATATGCTTGTGAACACTTGTGTAAATGTTATGTTTAAACATAGAACATGTTGAAAACTATAGGAGGTACAGATTTTTACAGGGAATTAATTCTGCAGTGAATCCTTTGGTGAAATCAAGAATAGTTTGCGGAGACATAACCCTTAAGAGTTCTTTGTCTCTGAATCATTCTGGCTTTTCTAGGTTGGGAGACAATTATTCTTAATTGATTAATGTGTAAAAACTTAAGGCAATACTTAGTGGTTTTGAAAGGAAGCTAAGTTTGTTTCCAGTTGTTTCTGTCAACTCTAGTCTGAATCTGTCAGTGTGTAGTTCTCTACTGTTCATCAACAGGAAGCATCTGGTCATTCTTTGTGTAATTGTTAGAAAACACCAGGTGTATTTTTAATGTTTGCTATTTTAAATGAAAATAGATTGGATCTTGGTTAATTATACTTGCTTGGTTTGGCTGGGCACCGTGGCTCACTTTGGGAGGCGGAGGCAGGCAGATCACCTGAGGTCAGGAGTTCGAGACCAGCATGGCTGGCATGGTGAAACCGCGTGTCATGAGGAATTCAGAAGTTACATGAAGTTTTGAATCATGAATTTATTTTTGAGGGTGCATGAGGCAGTTACCCAGTCTCTCTTTGTAAGTAGCCTGAGTTCAAATGAACTCACCGATGGCCTCCATCTCTTCTCTCTGACTTTAACTTTGCAAACATTAAAAAATGAACCCACACAAAATCATGACATTCGGAGCCAGAGCAACTTAGTTTCCTTAGTGTCATCTCTCCCGTCCTCTCCCCTCCCCAACTACTATTATGATTTCCAGCTAGTAATCACGATGTTTCTATAGCTCTGATGTCTCCTTTGAGACAGCTATAGTTAGTATTACACCTTTCTGAAGATGTTTGTTCCTTCATGTTTTCTAGAAGGTAAATCTAGCACTAGATGAGATGAGTATTAGGGCCTGTGTTTTTTTCTGTGTGTTCGCATCACAGTGCTCAATACAGAGAAGATGCTTTGATGCGATCAGCTGTCAGTTCAGTTGTTGGTGGCCTAGTGCACCTTTCTCTCTCTCCTTCCCTTTCCTCCTCCTCCCCTTTCTCTCTCCCTTCCCACCCTGGCTCTCCCCTGCCCCTTTTCTTTCTTTGACAGGGTCTTGCTTGCTCTGTTACCAAGGCTGAGTGCAGGGTACAATTATATTTCACGGCAAGCTCCACCTTTCAGGTTCAAGCAATCCTGCCTCTGCCTCAGCCTCTTGAGTAGCTGGAACTATAGGTGTGTACCAACACATCTGGCTAATTTTTTAGTTTTTTTGTAAAGACAAGATCTCACTATGTTGCCCAGGCTGGTGTCAAACTCCTGGACTCAACTGATCAACCACGGCCTCTCAAATGTTGGGATTACAGGCGTCAGCCACCATAGCTGTCCGTGAATAATTCTTATGTTGGTAGAACAGCTTATTGAAAGAGCAAGGTTAGCCCCACTTTACTTTGTACTGGTTATATTATACTTGGGGTATTGGGATGGCTTTTTGGGTAGCATACTATCATAAGTGAGACCTTGCATTCATTCTCAGACTCTTTCAGAATCATCTGGAGAGCTAATAAAAAAACACACAGAGGCTCAAGATTAAGTAAGGTAGGAACAGACCTCTGTTTTTCTCATTTCCAAGGTGGTGGACATGTTTAAGTGTTGAAATCACTTATCTGTAGAGCATAAACGTGAGAGAAATTTGAAATGAGAAAAAGTTGAAAAAATAGGGTGTTTGACCTAAAGAAGTGAAGCTTCTTTTAAGAAGTAACAGCTACCTTTAAGGATTTAGAGGTCTGTCACACAGAAGGATCAGATTTGCCTTGACCAGAATGAACTAGGGTCAGTGGGTAGAAGTTTAAAAGGAGCAGATTTCAGCTCTCTTCCAAGAGGTATTTCCTCAAAACTGTGGAAATAGAATGGGTTGTTTTGGGTAGTAGTCTGTCCTACTCACTGACAAGTTGGGGATTCTAGAGTAGAGGAATTGTGCTGAAGGAGAATTTGGGCCAGGTGTCTTCTACTTACCTATAAACTTTAAGGTTTTATTAAATATGCCGAGGTTTACAGGTGGAAGCACAAAAAGCTAATTGATTGAACCAAGCTGATTAACTTAATTGGATAATAGTTTTTGCCTTCTTGTATAAAGAGAAATGAGTGTTAAGTGAGAAGGCTATTTCAAGAAGGGCTTTAAACCACACTAATTTGGCAGACTCAGAGCCTTAAAAATGGGCATACCTTCTTGACGTGAAAATTCCCTTTAAAGGCATTTTTTTGATGTAGTAAAGATGTGTGTGAAGATTTAGCTGTGAATGTACCAACTGCTGTTTTGTAGATAATAAAAGCTGTGTATTAATGCCTTTAACCCCCACAGTAATCATATAAAGTGGGTAGTACTATTTTTGTTTTGCAGAAGAGAAAACAGGCATAGAGAAATTAGGTTGCTTGCTCAAGGTAGCTGAGTTAGTAAGTATTAGGACCAGGCCTTGAATCCAACCAGTGTGACTCCAGAGCCAGTACTCTTGATCATAATGTGGTAAAACTGTAAACAACCTAAATGTTTCACAGTGATTGTTAGGGTCTATCCCTACAGGGGGTACTGTCTACTCAGCCATGAAAATGATGAAAGGATAATATAAAGACATGAGAGGATGTCTTGGTATACATAAGTGAGAAAAAGTAGATTTAAAAACATGATTTCATTTTGGTAAAAAAAAAAATAATATATTGATGTCTGGAAGGATATGTGCCAAATTGTTAAATGGTTATTTCTGAATATAGTTTTATAGATGATTATTTTCTTTTTGCTTATTCAGATTTTCTAACTTCTGCAATGAATATGAATTATTGTGTGTTGTAATTAAGATATTAAGATGTTATTTTTCAATAAAAATATTAGCATAAGCTGAGAAATTTGGGTTTATTCTCTGCATTTTAAGTAAGTTCGTGGAAATTGTACATAAATGAAAATTTGTAAATGCATGTAGTGTTTTGTAATTTTTTGTTTGATTCCTTATTCTGGAAGTAATGTCAATTGAATAGAGAAATATATCACTGACTCCTACCACCTTACCATAATCAATTCTCTTGTGTTTTGTTAATCTTATGTGTAATATTTTAAATATTTATCCCAGCGTCATCCCAGTTAGTTACACTGTAGCTTTGTGATTTTAGGCAGTTTACGTAATCTTTCCGTGTCTCAGTTTACTTCTTTGTAAAACGGGGATTATTATAATACCTAGCTCATGATAATTGGAAAGATTAAATGAGTTATTTTATATAAAGTGAACAGAATAGTACCTGACACATAGTTAATAGCTCAATAAATGTTAGCAATTATAGGATAACCGTTCACTATTCAGATTCCTAGGGTTTTGGAATAAGACTTTTTTTTGATATGGGCAAGGTAGTAATGTGTAACAGAATTCCGTGCAATACCCGCCTTCATTTGTTACTATTTCTATAGCAAAATGTATGAATGGTTGCACTAAATAGGATAAAGACCATGAATAGCTTCATATCAGTTTGCATAAGGTTTAACACAAGATGAGTTAGTTGGGGTTTCAGTAGTTTTTTGGTTTTTTGGGATTGCAGATAAGGAACCTATTAAGTATTTACTCAATTTTTAGTCTTATAATATTAAAACATCTTTTCATGGTATTATATAGTTTTATAGTACTTGGTAAATTTAACAGTCAATTAAAATAGTGGTAGCCGAGCACGGTGGTGGACACCTGTAATCCCAGCTACTAGGGAGGCTGAGGCAGGAGAATTGCTTGAACCCAGGAGGTGGAGGTTGCGGTGAGCCGAGATTATACCATTGCACTCCAGCCTGGGCACAAGAGCCAAGCTCTGTCTCAAAAAAAAAAAAAAAAAAAAGGAAAACGTCCACCTCTATCTCCTTTGGTTTAAAAAATACTGAGCAAACTGATACTGTGATTTTATTTTTTTTAATTTTAAATTTTGAAACTTTTAGGCTGGGTGCAGTGGCTTACACCTGTAATCCCAGCACTTTGGGAGGCCATGGCGGGCAGATCACTTGAAGTCAGGAGTTTGAGACTAGCCTGGCCAACATGGTGAAACCCCATCTCTATTAAAAATACAAAAATTAGCCAGGCATGGTGGCATGTGCTTATAGTCCCAGCTACTTGGGAGGCCAAGGCGGGAGCATCATTTGAGCCTGGGAGGTGGAGGTTGTAATGAGCCAATATTGTGCCACTGTATTCCAGCCTGGGTGACAGAGAGCAAGACTCTGTCTCAAAAAAAAAAAAATTGAAACTTTGAAAAACTACCGCTGTTGGTCTTGTGATTCTCTTATTAAGAATATCCTAAAATAATGGTGTGATTATATTACATTATATAGTATCATTGTTTTCTAAAAGAGCTTTGAGCATTCCTATAACCCAAATAGCTTGTTTATGTCTCATTACACTTGAGGAATAAAATTTTTTTTTTTTTCTTTTTTCTTTTTTTTTTTGAGACAGTGTCTTGCTCTGTCACCCAGGCTGGAGTGCAGTGGTGTGATCTTGGCTCACTGCAACTTCAGCCTCCCAGATTCAAGCGATTCTCCTGACTCAGCCTCCTGAGTAGCTGGGACTACAGGCACACACCATCATGCTCAACTAAATTTTTTTTTTTTAAATACTGAGTCTTGCTCTGTCACCCAGGCTAGAGTGCAAGGGCACGATCTCGGCTCACTGCAACCTCCGCCTCCCGGGTTCAAGTGATTCTCCTGCCTCAGCCTCCTGAGTATCTGGGACTACAGGCGCGTGCCACCACTCCTGCAAATTTTTTTGTATTTTTAGTGGAGACAACGGGGTTTCACTGTGTGTTAGCGAGGATGGTCTACATCTCCTGACCTCATGATCTTCCTGACTCTGCCTCCCAAAGTGCTGGGATTATGGGTGTGAGCCAACATGTCTGGCCCAAGATATTTTTTTTTTGGAGACACAGTTTCACTCTGTTGCCCAGGATGGAGTGCAGTGGCATGATCTCAGCTCAGTGCATCCTCTGCCCCCCAGTTTCAAGTGATTCTCCCAAGTAGCTGCAGTTACAGGCACCCACCACCATATCCAGCTAATTTTTGTATTTTTAGTAGAGACAGGGTTTAGCCACGTTGGCCAGGCTGATCTCGAACTCCTGACCTCAAGTTATCTGCCCACCTTGGCCTCCCAAAGTGCTGAGATTACAGGTGTGAGCTACTGCACCCAGCCTATAGTAGTGATTCTTTAAAGGAGGTGGGTACATGCCACTATATCTGCCTTTAACACACCTGTTCTGTGGTTATGGAGACTGAGATGGTCATAAAAATTACAGTACTGAATTTTGGAATTAGGTTGATTCTTATTATTATAAGAATTTTGGATGTATAGCCCCTTCTGACTCCTGTAATCCTTTATGTCCATAGCACTTACTGTAAATCCAAACAGGAAGAAATAATTACTAGTATGGTGCTTGCTTCTGCAACACATGTACTAAAATTGGAACGATGCAGACAAGATTAGTGTGGGCACAAGGAGGACACATAAATTTGTGATGGGCTCCATGTTATTTTTAATAATAAAAAGTAAAAAAAATTAGTATGGTGTATACTATACCTTTATCTCCTAAATGGGTTTGTGTGAACTCTATGATCTTTGCCCATGTGACTACTTTTCCTGTGTTCCTTTATGTGTTTCATTCATAGAGACTCTCCGTTTCTATTCCTTAGTGCTATGGTCTGAATGCTTTATCTCCCCAAAATTCATGCTGAAATCTTAATCTCCAAGATTATGATATTAGGAGGTGATTAGCTCAGGTGGGTAGAACCCTAATGAATGTGATTAGTGCTTTTATAAATGAGACTCCAGGCTGGTCGGGGTGGCTCATGCCTGTAATCCCAGCACTTTGGGAGGCCGAGGTGGGTGGATCATGAGGTTAGGAATTCAAGACCAGCCTGGCCAAGATGGTGAAATCTTGTCTCTAGTAAAAATACAAAAATTAGCTGGGTATGGTGGAAGGAAGGAGCCTGTAATCCCAGCTACGTGAGAGGCTGAGGCAGGAGACTTGCTTGAACCCTGCTGGTGGAGGTTGCTGTGAGCTCAGATCGTACCACTACACCCAGTCTGGGTGACAGAGTGAGACTGTCTCAAAAAAAAAAAAAAAAAAAAAGACTCTGGCAGCTTGTTAGCCCTTTCTTTCATGTTAGGTTAATAGCAAAAAGACTGCTGTCTAGAAGCTGGCTCTTAGCAGATACTGAATCTGCCAGTGCCTTATTTTGGACTTCTCAGCCTCCAGAACTATTAAAGATAATTTTTCTGGGCTGAGTACAGCGATTCATGCCTGTAATCCCGGCACTGTGGGAGGCTGAGGCGGGAGGATTGCTTGAGACCAGCCTTGGCAACATAGTGAGACCCCATCTCTACCAAAAAAAAAAAAAAAAAAAAAAAATCATTTTCTGTTGTTTGTAAACCACCCAGTTCATGGTATTTTGTTATAGCAGCTCAAACAGACTAAGACTTTACCTTACTCCTGTATGTACTAGATAGAGTCTACTTTGACATCATTCATTCATTTTATATTTTACTGGACTCCTGTTGTCAAATTTTTCCACCGTCGATTTCTTCTGTTTTCCCTCACAGGTCACAGCATATTTGTGGAGGAAGGTGAGTAATTATGAAGACTTCTTGGCCACTATAAATTTATGCTGAACAATTCCAAATAGACCCTTCCTATTTTCTTGGCAATCATCTTATTAATTGCATTTTTCTGTTGTCTTATATTTCTTCTTCCTCTTTAACTCTTCTATTTAAGTGAAAAAGAAAAACCAGGTGTAAGCTTGCACATTTTTTTCATTGTCACCATAACAAATCTCTATTCTGTCATCTTATTTTGTAAATTGAATGGAAGAAGAATCTTGCTGCCACAGTTAAGTTTACCTCTCTTGTCACTTTGATTGTTATTTGCAGTGTTTTTTCTTCTTTACCTTCAAATATGTACAGACTTCTGTACTTTGGGAGGAAAAAAAATCAGTTTTGATTAACTGCTGCTACTGTTCTTTCCAGCTATCTGCAGCATTTCTCTTCTTTATTTCAGAAATTTTAAGAATTGAATTATAGTTGCTGCCCTGAGTTCTTTTTTTTTTTTTCAGAGACAGGGTCTCAAACTATGTTGCCCAGGCTGGAGTGCAGTTGCAGCTCACTGCATCCTTAACCTCCCCAGGCTTAGGTGATCCTCCTACCTCAGTTCCCGAGTTGCTGGGATTACAGGCATGTGCCACCAAGACTGGATAATTTCGTGTTTTTCTGGTAGAGACTAGGTCTCACTGTGTTGTCCAGGCAAGTCAAGTCCTGAGTTCTTTTACTGCTACTTTCCTAACTTACGCAGTTTTGGAATATCATAATTCAGATTGTTGCTTTAGAGGACATCCTTTTTGTCGATTATATTGGCTTCATCCTGACTCTTTTCAGTTAGTATATATGTGTTACTATTTCCACCGAGGCTTCTTAATATTCTTTCCTTGCTCTTTGTGTTAATTTGCCATCCTGGTTTTCCCTTCTGATTACTACTTTTCTGATTTTTTTGTAGTTTCTCGAGCCTCTTAGCACTGTTATTCTCATCAGTACTTGATTCTTTATTCCCCTCTCTCTGTCTTCTCTCAGATGTTTTACATGCTGATGACTCCCAAATGTGTGTCCCATGCACGTTTGTTCCTCCAACAGTTTACTGGATATGTCTGTTGGAAAATTCAAGGAATTTCCATCCCCCCCTTTTTTTAAAGACTGAGTTTCGCTCTTGTTACCCAGGCTGTAGTGCGGTGTTGTGATCTTGGCTCACTACAACCTCTGCCTCCCGGGTTCAAGCAGTTACCCTGCCTCAGCCTCCCAAGTAGCTGGGATACAGGCATGTGCCACCATGCCTGGCTAATTTGGTATTTTTAGTAGAGACAGGGTTTCTCCACGTTGGCCAGGCTGTTCTTGAACTCCTGATTTCAGGTGATCTGCCTGCCTCGGCCTCCCAAAGTGCTGGGATTACAGGCATGAGCTACCGCAGCCAGCTTCCTCACGTTTAGATTTATTATTACTTAGCTTTTCACCTGC